CCCTGCCTGCTGGCGCCCGGGCGGCGGCGGCGGCAGCGGCTCGCCGAGCCCCGAGACGGGGGAAGCGGGAGCGCTCCGAGCCGGAGGCCGCCAGGGCCCGCTCGCGATCCGGCCGGGGGCGCCCCGGGCCCGGGCGCCCCTTCATTTTCTTTTAGGTGTCGCCGCGGCCGCCAGGCCGGAGACGGAGGAGAGGCTGGGGGAGGGGAGCAGGGCGGGTGTTGGGTTACAGGCGGTGAGTCACGGCCCCTCCGCCGCAGTGCGCACCCCTCCCGCCCCGCCGGGGCTGGCACCCCGCCTCCGAGGCCCCCTCCTCCGGCTGGGGCGGCTGTGCTCGGCGGAGGACCCCAAGGGGGGGGGGGGGGGGGGGCGCCTCGACCCCGGCCCCGCGCGCTCGCCGAGGAAAGGCGGAGTCGGGGAGGAAGGGAGGCCCGGAGGCTGAACCTGGGGCCTGCCGCGGGACTGCCTGCCCTCCGACACCAGCCAGGGCTCCGGCCGCCTGGGAAGGGAAGGCAGTTGGGGGCGTGGAAGAGGTGCGGAGCCTGGGGCGCCGGGACCGAGCCGGGCGCCCACCCTGCCCGCGAAGGCTGCCTTCGGAGGTGGGCGAACCGGGGACCTCAGAGGGAGCAGGGCCGGAGCCCTCTGAGCAAGAGGCGACCGGCAGGCCTCTTGGCCCCCTTGGGCCTTGGGAGTTTGCCTCTAACTGAAAGGACCAGATCTCGGAGGTGGTAACGGTGACTGTACCCCGCAGGCCGAGGGTCGGGCGGAAGGGCGTCCCACCGCGGTGAAGCTGCCCCCCAACCCCATACACACCTTCTCCTAAGAAGCTGCAAGGCAAGAGAAAAAGAGGCCTTAGGGAATTTTTTTTTTTTATCATGGTGCAGTATACCAGACTGGGATAGGGAGCGTGAGGTATGAAGAATGTCCCGCGCGTTGTACAAACCGCCTGGTGGTTCTTTACTTTTCCACCAGTGAGCCGCTCTCCACCTTCCTCCTCAGCTCTCGGGTTCATCCCTTCTGCATTCCTGCTGTCTTCACTCATGTCTACCCCTTATCGCCTTACCCTGGGCTCCCGCGACAGCCTGTCCTGCCTGGGAGCCCCCTCCCTAATGCCAGAGAATCGTGTCCCCCAAACCTGTGCCTCTGCCACACTCCAGCGTTAGGCATCCTTCTCTGTCCAAACTTCTGTCAATCTGCTGATGATGACATAAACCCCTCTCTGCCCCCTCCTGCCTTCCCCGAGAACACACTGATTATCGCATAATACAAACAGGAAGGCCATGTCTATGCAAATCCTATTCTATCCTCCACACTTTGCAGGGCCCCCCCCCCCCGGCCCCATCCTGAAACTGTATTCTGCTTATATATAAAGTCTCTAGACATTGTGCATGTAAATTAAAGAGTCAGAGTGAGCAAAGTATCGGTTTATCCCCCATGGATAGGCTGTGTGACCTTGGTCAAATGACTTAACCTCTCAGAGCTTTTGTGTCTTCTTCTTAAAATATGGATTCCCCGATCTGTTTTACAGGTAAACAGACTGCAGAGTGGTGATGAAAATTGTTCACCAAGCATTTCCTGGTTCTCCGGCCGGGGCCCACGCCCCCCCCCCCCCCCCCAAGGGATGGGGTAGGAATCTACTACCTTATCTGACTCACTTGGGCCAATGGAATGAGAGCAGAAGTGATACGCATTGCTTTCAGGTAGAAACTTTTAAGGGCCAATGGGCAAATCCGCATGTCTTGAGAATCCCAAAAGTTCAACCCTGGCAATCTTACGTTGACAACCGTGGAAATGCAGAGACAGAGCCTCACCAAGCCAGTGTGGGTCTCTGTAAAGATGGCAGAGTAGGCCCAGCTAATCTGCATTAGAAAAGTAGCGTGAGGGGCGCCTGGGTGGCGACTTCGGCTCAGGTCATGATCTCCCCCCACCACCGTTCGCAAGTTCGAGCCCCCTGTCAGGCTCTGTACTGACAGCTCAGAGCCTGGAGCCCGCTTCAAATTCTGTGTCTCCCTCTCCCTCTCTCTGCTCCTCCACTGTCCGTGCTCACTCGCTCGCTCTCTCTCTCTCTCACACACACACACACACACACACACACACACTAAATAAATACATACATACATAAATACATTTAAAAAAAAGAAAAGTAGTGTGAGCAAATATTAAACGTGTGCTGTGTTATACCAGTGAGATCAGAGGTTTATTATAACAGTGTAATGTAGCATTCTGGCAAATAGTGTTGCTTCCAAATGCTTGTGACTTAATCAGTATTTGTTGAATGAATAGCACTTAACGTATTCTGATACTATTTTATGATAGTAAACCGTCCTCTGTAAGGTGGTTGTCATACTCCCTATTTTCAATTAAGGCCACCACATCAGAAAACTGACTTTGCCTGAGATTGCACAGGTCATAAATAGCAACGCCAGGATTTAAACCCTACCTGTGCAGTTCCAAAGCTCATGCTCTTCCCCTTCTGCATGTGCCATGCTACCTCTCCTTAAATGGGAAGGGTGGAAACACCCAGTCCCATGCCTGGCACACAGTCATGCCCGAGCACTGGGAGTTCCTCTCCAGACTGAATTCCTATAGCATTTATAATCTGAGCCACACTTCAGCACAATGTTATCACACATTGTGCTCAAGTGTTTTCACATAGATAAAGTGTTTCCTCCAGCAAGATCCCAGGCTGCCTGATTAAGAGCTTGAGTTCTAGAGTCAGACTGCCTGGGTTCAAATCCCAGGCAATTGACCACCTCGGACAATCTGAGCAATTGACCACCTCGGACAATTCTTTTCCCTCTCTATGCCTCCACTCTCTGACCTTCAAAAGGGTGGTGGCTACCGTGCATTCATCTTGCAGTGTCCTCCGGGCCTGAGTGTATGGATGGACGAGAGACTACTGACAGTCAGCAGAAGGCCACAGCGGCTTGTGACACTTGGATGTTACATTTGCAGGGTGGGCAGGTGGAAGTCGGAGGGGGGGGACTCCCTATGAAACTCATAAATGGGGAGCTGCGGAGATGAGTGCCACCCCCAGGCTTTCTATAGGCAGGCACTGCAATTCCTAGTGATTTGCAGCACATTTGATTGGCCTCTGAAGAAAACCCATGATCTTTGAGGAATTCAGTGCATTGTACAATTATTGGCTTTAATTGCTTCTACATTTCCAGATATCTTCCCCTTTCCCCAGGCAATTCAATACTTCACTCGGCCCATACCACAAAGTACTGATTTAGCAAGTGCATTTCTCCACCCTTAGAGAAAGAAATGGAGCGGGGGGGGGGGGGGGGGGGCTTAAAAGCACCCACACAGTTTTCTTTCATTTGCCAGTATAGCAAGTGCTGTTACCTCTAGAGCAAAGGTGATTTTTCAGTATGAATTTTAGGGTCTTTAAAATCTGAGCTCCCCTGATTCTCTATTGAATATAACCTAATTATATCATGGTCTCTAAATACTTGACGTAATGTATCATATTGTTTTGGTGCAATTGACAGCAAGTTTTCAAATAAAGGTCAACGCACACAAAAGTGCCTATAATTGATAACAAAGTATGTGGTGTGAAGCGTTTCTGTAAGGTTGGTCACCTAATTACCTTGCAATTTCTACTCAGATATAAATTCTGATTTCTTTTCACTAGTTTCTATCTCCTGTATAAATTGTGTGAGGAGTGTTTTCCAGTAGTTTTCAAAAAAAGAAAAGAAAACAAATCTTTGACCTTCAGGGAAAGTTCCTAACTATGCAGTTATACTTGAGATGAAAATATTTGTTCAATGTTTCTTTGTTACATTGAATGGACTCCCTGCTACCTGATCCATAACCGATAATAAACCATATTACTTATTTACAAAAAAAAGAAAATAGGGGCACCTGGGTGGCTCGGTCTGTTGGGCATCCGACTTCGGCTCAGGTCACGATCTCGCAGTCCGTGAGCTCGAGCCCCGCGTCGGGCTCTGTGCTGACAGCTCAGAGCCCTGAGCCTGTTTCGGATTCTGTGTCTCCCTCTCTCTCTGACCTTCCCCCATTCATGCTCTGTCTCTCTCTGTCTCAAAAATGAATAAACGTTAAAAAAAATTTTTTTTAAAGAAAATAAACAACAGGTTGTTTTTTTTTTTTTAAAGTGTGGTGGCTATAACATAGGTGGTGTTAGGGACGGTAACAATAATATGTGTGAGGGCTGGTGTGAAGGTTAAAGGATATAAAGTATGCACTCAATCAGTCATTGTTTTTATTATGCTTATTTTTCATCTTGCATGACTCCTACTAGCAATGAGGCAATTAAAATCAGTTTAATCATACTACTCGATTAGACTCTGACTCCTAGCTTCATTCTGGTTATGTGACAGAGGTTATAACATCTGAAGTTGGAAGCATGACATCCACACTGTGCTACAACTTATATTTACGTAAGGCTGATGACTTGTTCTTTATTACGCTTTCTGTTTTCAAAGCATTTAAAAGAAAGGACGTTTGCTTTCTTGAGAAATACTTGTTCAGAAAACATAGTAATACCAGTACCGTGTATCCACGATCTGTCTGCCAGGACCTTTCTATGTATTACCTCCAATCATCATAAAACCGCAAGGTGGACA